AAGAGGCCTGGAAGAAACCCTGCGCAAACAAGGAATGAGACAAATAGAACCCAAGAACTATAATTTAAGGTAGAGTGAACATGATGGGACCGAGTGGGAAGCGGCCCAGGGTATAGCAGCAGCAACCAAGTAAACGAAAGCAGTAAATGGCTGCTGTCTATAGGGTCCCTGGGTTGGGACTTGGAGTAGTGGGTGGGCCTGAGACACCCCTCCCCCCCAGCCACCGGAAAAGTGGCCTGATCCCAAGAAGGGGATAAGACTCTATTAAAAGCCCAAAATAGACCCAGGGACATGGCTGAAGACCCTGGAGGGGCCAACCCTTTGTTGAACTTTGTTTCCCTCCCTGCCACCCCCACGAAGGGGACTGAAATTAAGGATTGACATGGCTGGAGAGCTGGGACACCAGAGAACAACTAAAGGCAAAGAGTCTCCAGGGAGAAAGCCCTGGGGGGTGCTGCTTTAAGACAGGGTAGAGACAGACTTAACATTGGCCCAGAAGGGTCTGAGAACTGAGCCGAGATGCAGGGCTGCAGATACCAATGACTGCACAATGGTAGTCCTTGTTGGACATTTGTTACCGTGGAAGGGGTTCATCCATTTTAGACTATGTTTGACTTAGCCAGAGGGCTGAGCCACTGATGAGGGCAACAGCTGACCAGGAGCATTGTGAACTGAGAGAGTGCAGGTTCACACCCAGCTGACAGGTGGGTGCTCAGGAGAGGTGTGTTCACCCCATCACATTCAGTTTTAGTGAGGAGTAAACACAGTCTTAGAACCTCTGCTACAAAAGTAGTTGTCATGTGTTTGAGGGTCATGATGGCTATCTGCAACAATCTTGATAGTTAATTCTAGGCCTTTTTGGATTTGCTGTTCTTTTCTTTGGAACTCAGGTTTTCCTTGATGAAACTAGTCAACCAGGTACAAAGCATTATGGAGAAGATACATGACATGAATTATAATTACAAGAGAAATGAAAAAAATGTTTTCTCATATAACTGCAAGACTGCATAATAAAACTGGTTTAAGAATTAAAATAGCTGCATCTGTTGAGATCAAAGTCTGTGCAGAGGTGACCTAATAACTATTTTTTAAGTCTTTCTGAAAAGTATTTTTGGGAGCATAGGAAAAGTCTCCTTTGTATAGTTCCTGTGGCTCAGGGAATGCAGCTACTTTAAGAAAGCTATCAGTTCATTCATATATCTTAAAATTAGTGCAGAACTTTAAAGCCACTGTAGTGTAATTCTTATCTGAAAAGTGACCATATAAAAATGTGACATTCTGCCTCCTGTGTTTATTCAGAGTCTGAGTTTGCGGAAATGCTCAGGTCCACAACTTGAGTTGAACCTATGTCCATCCTGGCTGTTGGAGACCAGCGAAGAAGTACTGGGCTCATTGTGGATTGTGTGTGTCACTATGGGGGTAGAATAACAGCAGACCTTAAGAAAGCTATTGGCTTTGCTCTGACAATCTTGCTATTTATTGACTTCTGTCTAGTCTTCCTTTTCAGGAAAAATTGTTGAAAAGGTTGTGGCAAAACAGGTCAGATGATATGTGAGAGCCTTGAGCTCATCCAGGGCCAGCCTTAGGAAAAATGGTACCCTGGGCAAACTTGTGTTTTGTTGCCCCTGCCCCCGTCTCCCCAGGCTTCCCCATTACCTTGGGCCTCTCTGCCTCCCCAGGCTCTAGACCCATCCCCTGATCTCCCCAGGACCCCTCCACCTCCACCTCCACCTCCCCATCTATCACCCCTGGCCCCTGCTTCCTCCATGGGCTTCCGCCCCATAGCCCCTGGCCTCCACTGCCTCCCAAACCCCATCACCCCCAGACCCCACTGCCTTGTCCCCTCATTGCCTCAAGCTCCTTTCCATGGTCTTGCACCCCAGGCCCACCCTGCTACTTGCCTCTTGGCCACAGTGACCCCCCTGACCAGGGCACCCTGCACGATCACCCACCCATAAGGCTGGCCCTGTGCTCCTCACCTAGCAGACCTGCCCCAGTCACCCACCCAGCATCCTGGCTTGCCTAACAGGCAACGAGAGAAGGGCTCAGGGGCTGTCCGTGCTGGGAAGAAGCAGGCACTCAGGCCAGGCCTGGCCGTTACCTTGTTGGTCCCAATCCCAGTCATGGCATTGTCCAGGTGGAAACAGAGCGGCACCACCAAGCTCCAATCCCTGCAGCAGCTGCAGATTCTCCAGGGGACCCAACAAGCATGGTGTGATGACTCAAAGCAGCAATGGCCATGAACCCTCCAGCCATCCTCAGGGCCAGCCCCTTCTCCTTGCCCTCCCCCCACCACCTAGTGGCTCCGCTTCTCTCTGCCACCCACCGGGGGCACTGGGCTCCTCTGGTCCTGGGTGGAGGCCATCACCAGCCACCACTCCACTAACATATACTGCTTGGGGGGCATTGCTCCCCCAAACCCTGCACATGGCTAAATTTCTGAGCGTCAAAGTTGGAATTTTTAAAATACTTAATGTTGGCCTAACTCTGCTTGCATTAAATTCAATTGACTTCAGTGGGAACAGAGTTACACCAACACTGAACACTTTTGAAAATCCAACTCCAAGGTTCTTGAGATTCACTTTTTTCTTACTACATCGGCTCCAGCTGTAAGAGCACTCCACTCCAATCAGCCAGAAGGAAGCTCCAGCAGAAATAAGAACAGCCATTCATGGAGAAATGGAAGTGAGAATTTTCTCTACTTATTTTTCCTTCACATATATTCAGAAGCTTAGTGGGTACAGAACTATCTTGTGCCCCTGGGAAATTTTAAAAGCATTTTTGTCACTTTTATTTTTACACCATTCACCTTAATTTTTACCACATTGTTTGTGGCCTATATTGCAGCTGATACAAGCGTAAAAAGAAACAGAAGAGGCAGGAAATGTGCTCAAAATGCTTCATGTTCTGTGGAATAAGTTTTAATGTCTGAAAAACATGGTCTTTTACCCTAAACATCTAGCAGGATGACATAGGCCCTGCTCTAAGACGTCTCTTTTTATGTCTTAAGAATTTTATTTCACAGGAACATCAATTTTACAGCATATTCTATATTACAGGGTCACACAATCCTGTTTCAGCCACAGACTGGCTAGTTGATCATTTTTGGTGCCAAAAATTATTGATAATTTACTAGGATATTTTAGTGCAGGGGTGGGAAAACTGTGGCCTGCGGGCTGGATCCGGCCCCTCAGGGATTGCCCATCGTGGTGCCGCAGGCCCCGTGCCACTCACAGAAGCAGCCAGCACCACATCCCTGCGGCCTGGGGGGGCAGGGAAGGGGGGTGCAGAGGGCTCCATGTGTTGCCCTTGCCTCCAGGCACCGCCCCCCCGCAGCTCCCATTGGCCGGGAATTGAGGTGCGGCAAAGGCACCGCGCGGAGTCCTGTGCCCCCTCGTCCCCCAGGGGCCTCGCAGGGATGTGGTGCCGGCCACTTCCCAGAGCGGCATAGCGTGGGGCCAGGGCAGGCATGCAGGGAGCCTGCCCTGGCCCTGGAGCGCGCCGCTGCCACCCCGGAGCCGCTTTAGGTAAATGGCGCCGGGCCAGAGCCCGAACCACTCCTGCACTCCGCATCCCCCCTGCACCCCAACCCCCTGCTCTGAGCCTCCTGCTGCACCCCAACCCCCTGCCCTGAGCCCCCTCCCGCAGTCCGCACCCCTCCTGCACTGCTGCCCTGAGCCCCCTCCTGCAACCCCAACCCCCTTCCCTGAGCCCCCTCATACACCCCACATCCCTTCTCTGCCCCAATCCCTTGCTCTGAGCCCCTTCCTGCACACCACACCCCCTCCTTCACCCCAGCCCCCACCCCCGCCCCGCCCCAGCCCTGCATACAATTTCCCCACCCAGTTGTGGCCCTCAGGCCAGAAAGTTTGCCCACCCCTGCTTTAGAGGGATGGTGACTAGGAAACAAAGTGTTTCAGATGCCATCCCAAACCATAGAGCCACCCATATCTTAAGTTTAATAGTGCAAATAAATGTCTCACTTTAAGAACATTAATAATTAAATAATTGCGCAAGGTTGGAAAAGTTACCAAGGGTACATATTCTAATGTGCACAGCTGAAGGCTGAGAGTTATTTAAATGTGTATACAAGTGCATAGTCACAAGCCCAGCAAATAATTAAATCTACTGATCTTGGTTTTGTGTATCTATATAAGTAACTTCTCTGTCATGACTTCTGTGTAACTACCATATTGTGTCCCCATTAGTGGGTGAATGATTTGGTTTACAACCCCGTTTTGTTGATTTAGACTCCATCCTCGCTTTGCAGTAGGGCTGTTCAATTTATGAATGATAAAAATTTTGGTAAATCAGGTCCTGAGATTCAAGAATTGCTACATTATTTTATTGGATTTGTTCAAAATGAATAAGCTTTCAGACACATTTTCCTCATCGCTGTATCCTTCTTTTGTTTTGATTTCTTACATTTTTGAGTGAATTTCAGTGGTCATGAAAGTGAAAGTCAGACAGAACTAACTTGAACCAAGCATCATGCAGGCATGTGCTATGTAAATTTCCTTTACACAGCTCTGCAAATGCGCACTGGTTCTTACCTGAAGTACCTTCTGACCCCAAACAGCTCTGTCAATAGACGTCAATCCTGTACTGCAGCATTCCTGCTATTCTAGTCTTGGATCACCGAGCTTTGCCACATGCTTTTTAGTCCTTATCTGCAGCACTTGTTCAAGTCCTGTGCTTTCATGAGACTTCATGCACTTGAAAAATAGCCTTTACACAAGTCTGTTACTTTAGTATGATAATCTGCCAGTAAGATGTATCAGCACTGCAGCTTTTCATGAAGAGGGACTTCCTGTAAAACAAAGCCTTCTACAATAATTACTCATGGCTTCACAATGTAATTCTACCTGAGTCACTGAATACAATTCCTTATGCTTTGAGAAATTCAAAAATGACAGGGTTTAACACACATTTTGAAATATTTATTCTTTTTTGTTTACGTTTGTTGCAAGTAAGTTTCCTTTGTTTTCTTTGGTTTTTAGTGAGCGGTTTCTGGTGAGATTAAACAAGAACGGAGGCCCCAGGAATCCAGAGAAGATAGAACGGATGTGTGGCCTTTTCACAGTATGTATGAATTACTCATTCTCTTTCCCTATCTAACTGTGAACTGAGACTTCTCTTGAAGGTTGTTTGACTGTAAACACAGTCACTCTGGGAACAAAAAGAAATTCTTTCTTTCCTGTATACTGAGGAAAATGAAAACTGTATATTTCTGCTCAATTTAATGAAATGTTAACATTAGAAAATTGAAATAATCTTCCAGATTAATTGATTTTTTCAAGTAAAGGAACATCAAATACATTTCACTGTTTTCATCTTTAAATGCCCGTTGCATGTATTATACACTTAGAAAACAGAAGATGGGAAATTATTTCTTTTTTGACTGTTTGTGTGGATCCCACTCTTTGTGCATGCACCTCATGTTCACAAAATAGGAATACTTGAATAGCAGTGTCTGCAGGGCCACACCTGTACCATGTGTGCCCTCCCTCTCCCCCATGCTGGCATAAATGCCAGAGCCATCCCTCGTTACTCTTTTACCATCCATGGCAGTTAGATGGAGCAAGCAGTGTCCACCCACTACCCTTACTGGAATCTGCTTCAGTTGCAAATTAAGTGACTAGTTAGTGTTAATGCCCTTTAAATTACTGGCCTCCCCCCTTTTTTTTTTTATTTTAAAACCCTCCAAAAACCTAAATTTAATTTGTGTCTTAGCACTCTAAGCCACTATCCAGGCCAAAATGATGGATGGGGGGGAGGGATAGCTCAGTGATTTGAGCATTGGCCTGCTAAACCCAGGGTTGTGAGTTCAATCCTTGAGGGGGCCATTTAAGGATCTGGGGCAAAAATTGGGGATTGGTCCTGCTTTGAGCAGGGGGTTGGACTAGATGACCTCCTGAGGTCCCTTCCAACCCTGATATTCTATGATTCAGGCTTCAAACAATTGCTGTCCTGGGATGTTCTTATTCCACCCATGGACAGCCACAGCCTATTTTGTCTCAGTGACAGCTGTGTGCCAGACTGCTACTTAGTGTGTCATTCCTTCAGAACAAGAACGAGAAAGTCCAAGGACACTTGTTTGAAGTTATACTTGCTCAGATGATCAATGAGAAGAACTTCAGACCTTGAAGAGTGAAGATCAATTTCTAACATGGATTCTGCCTCTTCTAAGACATTGTCAGACAGTGACCCTGCTAGCTAGCATGCAAAACCCAACATGTTGTCACCAATCTGTTTCTTCCCATAAGGAGATCCAAATCTTTGCTCTCCCGGGAAGAGAGTACTAAGCTTGCTCATTCTCCAGAGGCAAGTGATGTCGGTTCAGCTATGGCTAGGTACTGAAGAAGCACAATGCCTGTTACTAGTACTTTTAGGCATGTGTACCAAATGCGATAACACTAATCTCAACATATGCACCAGAACCAACGTCAGCACCATTGATGGAAGTCTTAACAGCACCAGCTGATTTAATGTTGGTGGAGGTGACTTCATCCCAGTACCACTATTGGCACTTATATCTCTATATTTGGAACTAGTGCATATTTCTGACCAGTACCAATGTTTGGGGGACACTTTTTCTCCATTATCTAGCAGAGAACCTTCTCCTCCTCAGATCACACAGGTCAAGATAAGACCTCTCTCTACAGATCAGGGACTCTAACTTTAGAGCTGGAAGTCATCTGCTTCTGGCATGGTAATGGTCTGGTCAGCCCTGTCAGAACCAGCATTGTCAAAATGATGCTGCACCTTGGCCCTATGGGGCATACTGGAGACCACCATGCAGGAGCCAATCTCCTTCTTATCATTCAAGGAAATGGAGAGGATCTCAATCCCCTTGACAGACCCCGTCTACAGACAGGGAAGAACAGCAGCTGGCAAAGGAGGATTGGTTGCTCAGGGGCTGATATTATCAAGAGAGAAATGGTTGGCAGTACAAACAAGCTTGTTACTCCACAATAGGCTTCCAACTAAATTTTGAGAGGTCTGCTTTGACACCAGTACAGTGAATAGATTTCACGGGGACACTCTGTACCTCGGGGGAATACCTTACACCCCCATGTGCATCCTTATAAAATGATTGTGTGGCATCCAGTGCAAAGTTTGTCATGTCAGGTGTCTTCGGAAGGCTCATGATGCACTGAGCATTGTTGCTATAATGATGTCATAGTAATTGTTGTTACAGTAATGTTATAGTAATATTATAGGTTCTAATTTCATGTATATAGTTATGATGCTGAAAATGTGTCCTCGTGGCTTAAAACAGGCCCAGGCAAAACTTCTCCAAGAGCAGAGAGGCAGTTCACATCTCATCAGGGCATGTATGGGACAAAGCCAGCCCAGCCTCACAGGAACAAAAGACACTGGCCTAGGGTCTGTTGGACTCTCGAGTGAGTCATCTCCCTTCCTTTGGTCAGTTTGGGACTACAATGAGGTAATGGTCACCTGACCCTGAAGTGGGGGGCAAAGCCAAGAGGGAAGAAAGAACATGATAAAAGGGAGAGATGTTTGCCATGTCTTCCTCTCCCACCTCCATCTACAGACATCATCACCAAGCGACTGAAGTGCTGATCGAAGGGGAGAGCCTGGTTGAAGGGCAACCAGTCAGTCTGTGGTGAGAAGCATCTAAGTTTGTAAGGGCACTGAAAGTGTTAAGATTAGTTTAGAATGCGTTTTGTTTTTATTTCATTTGACCAACTCCAACTTGTTGTGCTTTGACTTATCATCACTTAAAATCTATCTTTGTAGTTAATAAATTTGTTTGTTTATTTTACCTGAAGCAGTGCATTTGATTTGAAGCATGTGAGAGACTCCCCCTGGGATAACAAGCCTGATGCATATCAATTTCTTTGTTAAATTGACAAACTCATATAAGCTTGCAGTGTCCAGCTGGCATAACTGGACACTGCAAGACGGAGGTTCCTAGGGTTGTGTCTGGGATCGGAGATATTGGCTAGTGTCATTTGGTTGCACAATCCAAGGAGCAGCTTACATGCCAGAGGCTGTGCGTGAAAAACCCAGGAGTGGGGGTTCTCACAGTAGAGCAGGGTAAGGCTGGCTCCCAGAGTTAAGGATTGGAATGACCTAGCAGATCACCAGTCCAGATAACACCAAGGGAACAGAATAGATTTCACAGGGACATCTCTGAATGCAGTGACAGGCAGGGCTTACTTTTACCTACTGATAGATTTCTCACCCTAAAGTATCTTAACAGTTCAGTTCAACCTCAAACCTGAGTGAGGAATTGCCTTCAACTATTGGGCCATGTTTTTGTAACCCCAAACACTAGGTTATGTCTTTGATGCCTCCAGGGATGGCTCAGGACACTCTACATACCAAACAAACAGTCTGGACAAGCAAGTGTCTGTAGTCAGCCAGGTTCTGCAGTCACTCAACTGGTGGAAGGATCCTTCCAAGGTCTGTACAGGAGTCCCATTTATTCACAATTTCACTACCATTGTGATAACATCAGACACTTTCCTCTTGCGTTGGGGATAGGAACCTCACACAATCCAGGGCAAAGGGTCATCCAGAGCAGTTACTCCACATCAACCTTCTAGAGTTGAGAGAGGTCAGAAATGCTTGCCTTCAATTTCTTCCTCTGATCAGACCAAATCAGTCAAGATCATGACAGACAACGTGGCCTGTGTGTTTTATATCAATTGTCAGGGAGAGGATGTTCCCCCTCATTCTGTGCCGAAGCAATAAAACTCTGGAATTGGTGCATACCCAACCAGGAGTCATCTCAGCTTCTTACCTTCTAGATGTGCAAAATACTGTGGCTGATGACCTCAGCAGGCATTTCTCCCAAAACATATTATTAACTTGGGTGCTTCCAGAGGTAGACCTCTTTGCAACTGCCGCCAACACGACGTGCAAGAAATGTTGCTAAAGAGGAGACTAGACCCTCAATCACTATTGGGCCGTGTTTTTGTAACCCAAAACACTAGGTTACATCTTTGATGCCTCCAGGGATGGCTCAGGACACTCTACGTCCCAAACAAACAGTCTGGACAAGCAAGTGTCTTTAGTCAACCGGGTTCTGTGGTCACTCAATTTCTTCCTCATCTCATGGATGAGAGGCCTTCCAACATTACTTTGGAAAGAACTGAACAAAATCCAACAAGACAAGGCTAGGGTCATTTTAATTGCAACAATCTGGTCGAGGCAAGTCTGGTAACCTTACATCATTCAACTTGCTTCTTGTCCACTGATGAGACTTCCAGCTAGTTGGCATTCTATTGTCGCAGCATGCTCATCAGATGCTTCACCCCAATCTGAAAGTTCCTCTACTCCAGGCGTGGCTCCTGAATGGTTCTTGGGGACAGAGACCTCCTGTTCAAGATAGGTGCAACATATATTATTAAACAGCAGAAAACATCTACCAGAAATACTTACCTTCAAAAATGGAAGAGATTTTATCACTGGTATACCTGTCAACAAGTTTCTCCTGTTCTCTTCTCTTCCCACCATCCTTGACCAATTAAAGACTCCAGGTCTCTCTGCAAGTTTCATCAGGGTTGACTTGGCAGCTATTACAGCCTTTTACTCATCTGTAGAAGGTTTTTTGATCTTTACTCATCCTGCAAACTCAGGATTTCTCAGAGGACTGATGAATCTTTTGCATCAGATTAGAGAACCTACTCCAGTATGGGACTTGAACCTGGTTCTTAATTGCCTTACAATAACACCCTTTTGTGCCATTAGCTACAATATGTTTGTTGCTTTATTTATGCATGAAAAACAGCTTTCTTGGTGGCCAGCACTTCTGCCCAGAGGGTAGAACTGGGGGCTTTAATGTCAGACCCTCCTTTTACAGTGTTTCTCAAGGAAAAGGTAATTTGCGACCAGATCCCAAGTTTCTGCCTAAGGTGTCTTCTTAATTTTATTATTAATCAGACCATTTATCTCCCAGTTACTTTCTCAAAAGCATATCAGACTAGACAAGAAGCTGCCTTCCATATCCTTAATGTCAGAAGGGCATTAGTCTTCTATCTGGACAGACTCAAACTGTTCAGAAGGTCTTCTACACTCTTTGCTTCAGCTGTAGACATATCCAAGGGATC